TGCATTGATGAAGCCGCACTGATGAGGTGGCACAGGTGAGCATTGATGATGAGGCACTGATAATGTTGCACTGATATGCAGCAATGATGGGCACTGATAGGCTGCACTAATTGGCACTGATGGGCGGCACTGCTAGGCACTGACCATCAGTGCCCTGATGATGGGTGCAGATGTCCTCTGTGTCATTTGCCGGTTATCGACAGTACTTTCACACACAGCGTGTCGAAAGTGCTGCCGATAACCAGCAACTGTATTTACACTGTCATCTGCTGTGTCATTGGACACAGCTGATCACATGGTAAAAGACCGCTGTGATTGGCCTTTTACCTCATCATGTGATCAGCTGTGTCAGCTGTAATAGGTTTCCACCTTTGCAATAAGTCTATCTGTGAAATTTCCTTGCTACTAAATATTCCACAGTCAACTGCTAGTGGTATTATAACAAAGTGGAAGCAACTGGGAACAACAGCAACTCAGCCATGAAGTGGTAGGCCATGTAAAATGACAGAGCGGGGTCAGCGCATGGTGAAGCGCACAGTGCTCTGAAGCCACCAACTGTCTGCAGAGTCAATAGCTACAGACCTCCAAACTTCATGTGGCCTTCAGATTAGTATAACAACAGTGTGTAGAGAGCTTCATGGAATGGGTTTCCATGGCCGAGCAGCTGCATCCAAGTCTTATATCACCAAGTGCAATGCAAAGCTGTTTGTAAACAGCAGGAGAGACAGATCACAGTTTGAAGTGTTTTATGCACCATCCTGAGGAAGTGGCCAGTGTAGTGCCATGAAAAGCAATAAATATTGAATTAATGAAGAATCCATTTCTCAGCTTCTCCTTCATATTTGGGTGTTTCTGCTGACACCAGTTTCTCACCTTTTGGGGCTCATAAACCTCTTATTGTGAACACACCAGAATCCTCAGACTGCAGAGCATAGGCTCGTCCGAATCACCTCACTGAACATCGACCTTACTCTGCATAGGGACAGACATATTCCCTGCAGGCTTTCACTCCAGGTTGTCTGATCCCCCAATAGGGAGTTCAGCAACCTCACAGATGTGAATACACCATTGCAGTCTACCTTTTCATCGTTTATTTCATCCAATTATCTGTCAGACTACTACACCATAAGGAACTCTCCCATGGCCTCTGTTTCTTTTTTACTTTTTTTCCCTTTATCTTTGGAGGTACCCCAGTTATTAATTTTTGTTTGTGCATTGTGGTGCGCTGGAGGGCTGTTCAGTATGAACTTCTGGGTTACTGGTTTAAAAAGTACTTAAGTCAGAGGACCAGCATAACAGCCCAGAAATTAGCCTTTGCAATTGTAATGTCCATCAGCATGTGGTGGACAGTAAGAATGAACTTTGGTTCTAAAGTGAGTTTGACCTGAATCCAACTTGTACACATTTTGGCTGAACAAACTAGGCATATTTGGGCAGTTATCCCACATAAATCCCTGGCTGCTATTTGTAAACAGACCAGGGATCTCTCATTCAGCACTAGATTGTACTACAGCTGCTAAATGACACATCACTGATTGGCTTCTGTTTGTAAGCAAACCACCTGGGGATCCTTGGTTATGTCATTGATCATACTTGATCAAAGCATCACCCAGCATCCCAAACAGGATGTAGGAACCAGAGCACCAGCTGGTGGCACTGTGGTTTTAAGACCTGAAAAGTGTAGTTTCAGTGTCCACCAGCAGCCAGAAGGTCCCAGGAATTAGTGTGCATATGGTGCTGGCAGTTGGGAGGGTATTTAGTCCCTCCTCTAGCTTTTCACAGTGCATCAGCATTTTGCCCTGTGTGCCATACATCCTGATCCTGTACCTTTTGCAGTGAACGTTTCTGTCTTGTACCTGTTACTTTTATGCTGCTGCCTCTCCTTGTACCTGATCCCCACTCTGGCCCCTTTCTAACCCATCTCTCCCAAAGTTCTATGTATCTCCTGTGTATATAGCGCATCATAGTTGTTACTTCATTAGTTTAGTAGTTTGGTAGTGTTCACTAGGTTTCATTTGTCATGTGTGTTTCACTATTGCTTGTATATTGTTTGTGGTGTTGGTTGGCTTTGCTGCGTTAATAAATCTTATCATATTTGCACAGTGTTTGGATTTAGTCATCTTTGTACAGCTGCATAAATCTGATCATCCTTGCTTTTGGTAGATATAATCATTTACTATCTTAACCCAGTAGCTGTCCAGGGATCTGCCATTTTTGTTTTTGCTTGGCTGCGTGCCCTGCAAGGTACATCCCTTCTGTAAAGTTAACCTGCTACTTTGCCCTACATGGGCAAAATATGGGTTCACTTTAAAGACTATAGTGTGGTAGTGAGGAAGCATTTTCCAATATTAGACCAACAAAAGCAGTAAATGATAAAATTTACACATGTGTGGAGTGACAAAGTTGATTATGAACAAGAGGCCTCCACTAATTAGGAAAGAGGTGTCTCAGAACTGAATTTAGGATGTAAAAGTACCGCCTATATTCTTGTCATGAAGCAACTTGTTCAGAAACTTCCTGTTATAGGATGACAGTGGTCTCCCAATTATGCTCTAGAGTTTCACCCTGTCACATGCACCCCTAATGAAGACTACAAGTGATTTTGGTGACACATATTGTGCAGGCATGATTCGCCATTGTCACTGTAAGGAAGTTGGTCCAGTGCAGTAACGCGCAGCTGATACTAGTGTGGGCAGTGATCAGGAACACTGACTGGTGACAGCATGTAAAAACGATATATATACTGTATATATTTTTTTTTATTAATTGTTTTTATTTTTTGTCACTATTTTTATGTTTTTTTTTTTTTTTAAACATACTGTAACCAGAGCAATACTGCAACCATAGTAACACTGTACTGCTCTGGGGAAGCAATCAGGATTTTTTTTTTTGGGGGGGGGTTTACACATTATGATTGCTTATACCAATTAAATTCATTAATACAAGAAACCATTTTTACTGAATGAAACTGATTAATTCAGTGTCTTTTGTTGTGATTATCTGTGATTGGCCACAGCTAATCACATGGCAAAGATTAGCTGTAATTGGCTCTGTCTGTACCATGTGATCGCTGTCACCAATCACAGCTAACAACACAATTGTATACAATGGATGGCATGAATGGAAGCCATCTGTTGTTTACAATTGTCATGTGATCTGCTGTGATTGGTCACAGAGCTCACATGAAACTGGCAGCAAGCTGATGTAGTGATCAGTCATCGATGGTATCCAGTGGACACAGTCGGTGACAGATTACGCGGCTGTGGGGTCATGCAGTGGTGCAATCAGCACCTTCTAAGAGGACATTATATGATGCCCACTCAGAAGGAGGAACGTCCTGCCTTGCCATCAGTCTGCTATAGGTTGGGTGGAAGGTGTTAATGAAACAAAACAGCTCTCTACCAAAATTTTGCGTGCTGATAGTTTTGCAGCTGCCCGAAGTGCACAATAATTGCAGAAAATAAGTAATTACTATTCAGCCAGTATTACATGCCTAATCCTCTTTACAAATGTTCAATTTCTATTAGTATATTTGTAGTTATATTTTTTTTAAGAAATTACATAAACATAGGTAGATATACTGCCTGTGCAGGAGGTCACCAAGGTCCTAATGGTTCTTTTACACTTTGAAAACTCACTTATTCAGGGAAGCCTACCCCACCTCCACCTAAGAACTGTACTTGAGTTACCTCCATCAGATCATCCCCTGCAGCTACCACCTTTTGTACCACTTCCCCCTTCCTTTAGATTTTAAGCTTCATGAGCAGGACCCTCCGGTTTCTTCTGTATTGAACTGTATTGTAATTGTACTGTCCCCCTTTATATTGTAAAGTGCTGCACAAACTGTTGGCGCTTTATAAATCATGGATAATAATATTAATTACAGGATGGGGCCATACTTGGCTGTAGTGAGACTAATACCCCCAGATGCCGTAGTCAGACTGGGATTCTTTTAGTGAGTAAGAAGTACCCTCCTTCTCCCAATGAGAACAATGTAAGGGGCAATTCTCTCACCAACCACAAAGGTAAAGGGTGATATATACACTGACCAAAAATATAATGGTAGATCCTACACTGGCCACCAACTTTACAGGGGATTCTGTGCTCAACGGCAATGTATTGGGGCATTTACAATGTCCACCAATGTAATAGGTGGTTGATGATTTCATGATGTAATTGATGATTTCATGGTTCTATTAAAAATATAGGTCTACTATAATGCACATCTGTTGGATCATCTAACACTGTAAAAGCAGAGGCATCAGCAGTACATGCACGGTTGTTCTTGGGTGTTCCCATTCCTGCAGCACATACCTCCTCATTGCCCAGTGAGGTTGCCCATCACATGTACTGACCTGGTTGGGGATGGCCTAATGTGCAGCATGCTGTACAAGAAATGCTTCACTTCTACAAGAGGAACTCCAGCCACCTCTCCATCAACACTGAGAGTGCCACTCAGTCCAAGAAAACTGCCAGCCTAGGCTGCTTGATGATGCACCCCTAGGAATGGCTCACAGGAGATGGGCTGAATGCTATTGGCCAGAAGTGCCTGGTGGCACTGGATTGATAAAAAAAAGCATTGGACAGTTCTTGAGTGTTGGAAGGGTGAACAGTGCTTGGCAAAAAATTGCATTCATTTTTTTTAATGAGGAGCATTCTATTTACTGAGATAATAGTTTTAAGGAACGGTTAAAGTGACCTAACGTTGCTAAAGGCTTAAAACAAATAATGATTTGGTTGTCAAATTATAATGGAAAGGAAATGTATATTACATAACATATTTAAGTTATATCTGATATGTTTTTTTTACAAGGTTTGAAAATTATTTATATTAACCCATCCTAAAGCTAGCTATTCCAATGATAGCTGTTGGAGTATGGTTGGAAGCTCTAATTACTAACTACTAATTCAGACTAATTACTAAATATAATTCATAATAACATGAAACATTGGATTCCATTCTTGATTCCAATTTATTTATTTAAAAAAAAAAGTTTGTGATGTCAAACAAGTCATTGATAAGCAAGTTCCTCCTGGCTGGTTTTTCGGACTGCCAAAACTGCCAGATACCCATCTTTTCTGTATTCCTTTTCATTTATATTTTCACAGTCTTAGAAAACATGACCATCGTGTTATTGATCATACAAAACAGCAAACTTTGGAAGCCCATGTATATATCCATAGGTAATCTTTCCTTCTTGGAGACTGGGTACATTAATGTTACACTTCCCAATATGTTATTCAACATCATCACAGGAAATCAGGAAATATCCTTTGATGGATGTTTTGCTCAGTTGTTCTTATTTGTCTTTCTGTGTGCTGCTGAGTGCTATCTCCTGGCCACCATGGCTTATGACCGTTACATAGCAATCTGTTTGCCACTACAATACACCATCATAATGTAAGAAAGGCATATTTGGTGCCTTCTTATATGTTCTTGGCTTGCGGGGCTCTGCACACCAGGTTTTCCAATCTATCTTTTTTATCAGCAGAATTTTTGTGGATCCAATAAAGTAGACCATTACTTTTGTGATGCTTCTCCACTGTTAAAGTTGGTTTGTGGGGACATCAATACTGAGGAACTTGTTGATTTCTTTATAGCAGCATTTGTTCTTCTTAGCTCATTGCTGGTTATCTCTGTCTCTTACTTCTACATCGCATGGACTATCCTAAAGATGCCTTCTTCTAAAGGACGACAGAAAGCATTCTCCACATGTACATCCCATCTTATTGTAGTCTGTATCTTTTATGGAAGTCTGTGCTTTACATATATGCGTGTCGCACCAGATTCTAACAGTGCATCAGACAAGCTTGTGTCTGTTTTATATCTTGTTATCACTCCCCTGTTTAATCCAATCATTTATACACTAAGAAACCGTGATGTAAAGCTTTCACTTCAAAATGTGCTTGCAAAACAAGACTGTTTGCAGACCAAACCATCTCACTAGACTTTTTGCTTTTGTAGTCCTTAAATCTGCCCTGCTAAGGTCAGTGACTAAGGATTCATTACTGTCTTTTTATATGTTCCTTGATACATTTTGGTAGATGCATGTCAATAGGGGAGGGTTAGCTTCTAAAACAACACAGTCTTAAAAATCTAACTATTCACATATACCTACGCTTTGAAATCACCCAAAAATATCCATAGTAACACAGTCTTTCAGACCTTTTCTGTCGTTTTTTTTGAAGCTGTCAAAACTTGTATAGCGAGTTTCAGCTGGGCCCTCCTTAAATCATGAGCACAATGATTAATCATGCAAATGCAGGGTTAAGTAACAAGGGTAGATTAACCACATTATATTGTATTGTAATGTATTCTTACACTTCCGAGTATGCATGGTCTTGGTCACTCAATTTGTTCCGTACAAACACTGTACTAATTATACAAAAATTGTTTGTTCTGATATCTTTCAAGAAAAATTTTTGTGTTTGTTCCTTCAGATATTTTCACATGAACTCTCTTGAAAGCTGTGTACTAAACAATAGATTATCAAACAAACACTATGAGTACATTTTTTTCATCTGATTTTTTCATTGTATGCACCAGGTATTATTTTATCTATCCATTATTTTATCTATCCACTGCTATATATGTGTTCCAATTGGAGACTCTCAAATCTATAGAGCTAGGGCTGCAGTAGAAAGAGGAGCTTTGACGTAGGCACTGTGGCTTACACATATATTTGCTAATGTGTGCAAATAATAAAAACCTCTGTTTTTAACGTAAATTGTTTGACAGGGTCAAATTGGTAATTTTGCAGGCTAACTGGTAAGTGTGCTTTAAAATTGTTTTTTGTTTGTGATGTAAATCTACTGGTTTATGCACTCCTACTCTCTCCACTGATTGTCAATGCTGCTGTCCAAGGTTGACTGCATTTCTCCTCCATGGATACAGTGGATAAGTGAATGTAGCCACCATAACATAGGAGATATGTTACTGGCTGTTCACCAGATGGATGTAAAGGAATAGGAACTTAAAAAGAAATTAAACTTATGCAGTCAGCACATCCAATGAATGATAAACTACAATATTTAAAATTTTGTTTTTGGGTTTAGTTACACTGTAAACTTGTTCATAGTTTTCATCAACATCATACTCTTGCTGTACTGAGGGTTAGATGTTTTTTCTTTTCCAATTAGCCTAGCTTACAGCACCATCCCAAATGGATACACTGCAATAAAAGAATGTTGCTTTTTCATCAAGCTGTAATAGGCCTGCTTTGCTAGGCATATAGTTCACTGAGGTTGTCCATGTTCTCACTGATGCAAAACTATCCTGGCCAATTTCTATCAAGCTCTCATTAAAGACACTGAAGATATACAGCAATTTAAAATTTGCCAGTGGCAGGGCAGTTTTAATGAGCAAGACTGGGGCAAAATGTTCTCATGAAAAAGAGCACAGGAGGTTGTTTAATTGCAAGATTTACGATCTTGTGGATGATAAAGCTGTGTAAAATTGGCCAGCAGCAGAACAGTTTTATTCGTGGCTGATAGGTCCAAATGATGTATGCCTTACTTTTATTTGGATAGAGGATGCAGTGAATGTCAGTGATTTAATGTAAGGTGGTTTAGGTGCACTTAGTTTATTTTTTCCTCGTTCAACCAATGCAGCTGTAAAAGATTCAGTTGCTGACAGAAAGGATCACAGATCATTTTCTTTTCTTGACTTGAAGTACTGGACTCCACTATGTACAGATTACCAGGAAACTGACATACTTTTCATTGAAACTTAGTGGAGGATCAAAGACAGTGGGCTGTGATCCTTTTTGGTCCGTGTTGAGCACCCCAAACCTAAAAGAGGCCTTATCAACATAAAGAAAAGAAAAGTCCCCCCAAAAATTTTTGAAACTGACCCTTATTTCCCTTATTTCTCCCTATACAGCTTATCAACTTTCCCTATCTCTTCCTACAACAGCTTTTAATACACTTTGGGGGTTATTTACTACAACTGGAGAGTGCACAATCTGGTGCAATACTTCATAGAAACTAATCCGCTTCCAGGTTTTATTGTCAAAGCTTAACTGAACAAGCTGAAGTTAGGAGCTGATTGGCTACCATGCACAACTGCACCAGATTCTGAGTGCACCACTTTTAGTAAATCTATCCCTTTGGCTGCTCTAAGACCCCCCTTTTATGGTGAAGGGCTAGCTTTTGCAAAAGCCTCTTTATAGTTCCTTCTAAGCCTGCTGGTAATAGCTCAAACACCATGCAGCACATTATGGTTTAAAAAAATGCATAAATTTGGACATACAACTCCTAGGACAGCATATCTGGGACCTACAGCTTTTGCTGATAACCCAAGGTAGCAATAAATCCAAACCTCGACCTTCCTGCTGGTGGCTTATCCCCTGATTTTGTTTACTGCTGTGTAGGGATGAGCTTAATGTTTATGTTAACTCTGAATGTTTAGGGTGTTTAGTGTGGATGAACATGACAACTTCTAGCTGTCAATGGTTGCTAAGGAAGCAGTGGAATCTTGCAGCTGCTGCATCCATCCTTCCCATCACCTGACCCATTCACTTACATGACAGGGAATCCCCGGCCAGGTAAACAAATAGTCAAGAAATGGAGCATTACATCATTGCATAAAAATAGCCACATGGCCATCCTTTATATAGCCAATGACAGCTCAAGGAGCTGTTATTTGGCTTGTATTACCTTCAGGAGATGGTCATCTGGAGCGGGTAATCATCTTTTTTCTTTTCCATATAGTCAGTGGTGGTGGGCATCATGATTGATAATGAATTTACAATGAGATTTTGATTTTTAAATAACCCCCCCATCACCACCACCACCACCACCGCCGCCTGTGCTAAACTGCTAATTCAAAAGCAACCAATATTAGGGTATATATCTTAACATCTACATGTTGCTGTGCTACAAATAACCTCAAATAATGAAGATAATTAAACATAAGCTCAGTGGTTCGCACACTAATAACCATGTACCAAAAAATCATACAAAGTGCATATTCATTGTGTATCAAATGGGTTTCACTTATATGCAGGTCATGCCAGCTTCTAGTATTTCATTAAACAAGTTTGTGTCTATTTTTTTTATACTGTCATCACTCCCCTGTTTAACACAGTATGTGTACAAATTTTTACAGTCTGGAACTGCACACATCCCACATAGTGAATATACATGAAAGAGCTAGCCCTCTTTTTTTGTACAGTGAAAAGTCCACAATGAAGTTTTTCAATATATATTAAAATAAGTATATTTATCAGGGTAATATAAAAAGTCTTTTAAAATAAAAACAAATACAAACATATGGCGGTGACCATACAATACAGAGACAATAAGCAGTATTTATACAGCTCAAAGGAACCTATGAAACAGAGCGCTATGAGCAGACGCGTTTCGAGAGAGTATCTCCTCTTCAGGGGTATGCTCTTTATGATTCACAATTTTTTTCATGGATATGAAAAAAATATATATCTGATTTCATATTACATACATGATCCTATGTAAAGCTTTCACTAAAAAAAGTGTTTGAAAAAAAAATTTATTAAAGCCACAATTATCTTACTAGAAGACAAAACTAAAGTTTAACCACTTGACCTCCAGAAGATTTACCCCTCTTAATGACCAGGCCTCTTTTTGCTACTCAGCGCTGCACTAATTCAACTGATAATTGCACGGTCATGCAATGCTGCTCCCCAAACGAAATTTACGTTCTTTTTTCACACAAATAGAGCTTTCTTTCGGTGGTATTTGATCACCTGTGTGCTTTTTATTTTCCACGCTATAAACAAAAAAAGGACCAAAATTTTTAAGAAAAACAATATTTTTTTACGTTCAGCTAAAAAAATATATAGTAAACTTAAAGTTAGTTATAAATTTAGGCCAAAATGTATTCTGCTACATGTTTTTGGTAAAAAAAATCCCAATAAGTGTATATTGATTGCTTTGTCTGAAAGTTATAGCATCTACCATCTATGGTATAAATACTGCAATTTACGCCATTTTTTGCTATACAGCGCTGTGCTAGTTTAACGGACAATTGCGCGGTCATGCAAAACGGTACATAAATGAAATTTACATTCTTTTTTTTCCCACAAATTGAGCTTTCTTTCGGTGGTATTTGATCGCCTGTGCGGTTTTTATTTTTTGCGCTATAAAAAAAAAGGCTGACAATTTTGAGGAAAAAAAAACAATATTTTGGACTTTTTCCTATAAAACATGTCCAGTAAGAAAAATGTAAAAATCAAATTTAGTCATAAATTTCTGCCAAAATGCATTCTGCGACATGTCTTTGCTAAAAAAAAAAATCCCAATACATGTAAATTAATTGGTTTACGTGAAAGTTATAGCGTTTACAAATGGCGGGAAAGATACTGGGATTTTTAGTTTTTTTTATACTAATAATGGCGGCGATCAGTGACTTATGGCGGCGATCAGT